TTTCAGCAGCTCGATCGACGGAAATGAGCCTGGACAAGCTTGTCCACAGCCTGGAGTTCCCTGCTGCCGAACCCACTGTGAAAGGCGGAGCAGTAACCAAGGCCCCTTCGAAAGGGCAACAACTCACATGTTATCGACTTGCCACGAGCAACCACGGCCCGTTCCATGCTCCTCTGTAGCTCTAGGGGAGTGCTTCTGGGTCAGAGAGCGGGACTTCCTGACAGCAGGATTCCCTGAGCTTCCAGCGATGCGTTATGCACCCTGGTTGTTCCGGGCCTGAGAGAGTTTCTGCCGTTTTCGCTCTCCGTCCCGTGACTTACTCACCCGAATATTGAGGCTGCTGACCACCACGTCTCCCGTAGGGGTGATGATGGGGATGTTTTCGCAGATGATCCCTTGCTCGACGTCAACCACACGCCCTGTACATGGGAAGGGGCGCAAGGGCAGAGACAGGGTGTTAAAAACGGCAACGAAAATGGTGCTCACGCGCTCGGCCAGAGGGACGCCCTCTTTTCTCAAGTCGTCTCTCTTTCTAAGGCTTGGTTCAGAGCTGCTTTCCATGCTGCGGGGGAAAGAAGCTCAACCGTGGCCCGGTGCAATGCACAAACCTTGGCTTGCAATCTGATAAGCTTTGGCTTGCGATCTGCCAGCAAATCTGAATCGTACATCTATTATCGATGTATTTAAACGTGTTTTTTTTAAAAAAAATCTCATGTTTCCTCTGGAACTCTGGGCAGGGCGTATGACCTCACCAAGGTCCCAAGTGGATTTGCAGAGCATGGTGCTCGCTAACCGTGGTCTGACGTTGCGTCTCGGGCCCGACAAACCATGGTTAAGGCCGCTACACTGCCTCCAGATGCAGCTGGAGTGCAGAGACAGGAATGAACCTGAAAAGCTGAGAGCTGGGGAGGTGAGATAGAATTTTCAAGCAGGTGCAAGCCATGCTTTGCCTGCCTACCAGCTCGAACCCTGAATAGAACTCATCCTAAAGAAACAACCGGGGTTTGATGTAATGTCTGAACGGAGCCTTGCCATACAGCCACCCACCACTAGCATTATCAAAAATACAAGGAGGGACAGAGGCCAAACATATGTGCCAGAGTGTGAGTAAAGTTGGCAGGCCACCAGTGTTCCCTCTAAGCTGAGTTAGTGTGAGCTAGCTCAGTTTTTTAGCCTCCAGCTCACACATTTTTGTCTTCGCTCAGGAAGGAGGGCTCCAGAGCAAACTAATTTATGCAGTAGCCAAATTGTTCGCTCACAACTTTAATGCCAGCAGCTCACAAAGAAGAATTTTTGCTCACAAGACCCCACATCTTAGAGAAAACATTGCAGGCCACATGTGGGAAGTTGGGGTTTGAACCTCTACTGTTCATTTCAACCTCTAGGAGAGCAACAGACCTGAAGAGCCGAGTCAAGAACAACACCAACCACCACAGGGGTGCCGGTAGGTAGTCCCACCCCCGTATAGAAATGTGTGGCCCTAGTTAGGGAACAATTGTGATTAGCACCTGCCTGTAAGCCGCTCAGAGACCCCCTGAAAAAGGGGGGTTCGAGCGGGATATAAAGTCGAAAGTTAAATAAATAAATAAATAAAACATGAGGAAGCAAGCGTTGTGCCAGGCCCATCACAAGGACGGGAGATCTATGGGGAACCTCCTGGGGCCCCTGGGAACGGTGAGAAAATGCAGCCTGCACATGCTCATGGGAACTCTTTCCTTTCATAGGTTCAGGTGGGGTAGCCGTGTTGGGGGGAGGAGGAGGAGGACATTGGATTTATACCCCGCCCTTCACTACCCAAAGGTGTCTCAGAGCGGCTCACAAACTCCTTTCCCTTCCCCTCCCCACAACAGACACCCTGTGAGCTAAAAGAAGAAGAGATTGGATTTATACCCCGCCCTTCACTCCTCAAAGGAGTCTCAGAGCGGCTTACAAACTCCTTTCCCTTCCCCTCCCCACAACAGACACCCTGTGAGGTAGGCGGGGCTGAGAGAGCTCTGACAGAAACGGCTCTTTTTCAAGAACAGCTCTTATCAGAACTACGGCTTGCCCAAGGTCATCCAGCAGCTGCAAGTGGAGGAGTGGGGAATCAAACCTGCTTCTTCCAGAGCAGAGTCCGCATACTTAAACCACTACACCAAACTGGACACAAATGGAGTCCAGTGGCACCTTTAAGACCAGCAAAGTTTAATTCTGGGTATAAGCTTTTGTGTGCAGATGTCACTGGGCGCAAACTTTGTTCTTTCGTAGAAATGTGAACTTTGCTGCGCATGCACTGGGACTGAGGCATGACATTCAGCATAGTTCCCTGCCTGGAACAGGAAGGAGAAATGGATGGACGTTCAGCACAGAGGACTCCTGAATTACCAAAGCTGGCACAGAAAGCAGAATTCTGGCAGGTGTGGCTCAGTCTGCAGGGATGGGGAAGTCACGGCATTATAGCCTGCTGAGGTCCCTTCCCAGGCTGCATCCCCAAATTTTCATGAATTTCCCAACCTGATGTCAGCAAACCTACATATCGCCTAGTTAGGCCCTGGGCCAGGTGCCACAAACTCCAGTAACCGCGGCAGCAACCAAGAACAAACAGCACGGAACTGACAGAACACACAGAAGTGAGGTATGCAATATACTCCTGCAGAAGAGACCCCCTCACCTCTGCAGGAGTATACCGCATACCATGCAATTGTGGACAGGTTTACATCGGGACCACACAGCGTAGCATTCAAACAAGAATAAAAGAACATAAAAGACACTGCAGACTTGGCCAACCTGAAAAATCAGCAGAGATTGAATATAGCCTAACTCAAACAGGACACAGTATTTTGTCCCAAGGCACTGAAAGGCTGGACAACACATCCAATTACCATGTCAGATTACACAGGGAAGCCACTGAAATTCATAAACATAAACACAATTTCAACAGGAAAGAAGAGAGTTAAAAAAATAAATAGGGCATGGTTTCCTGTCCTGAAAAACACAAAAGGCTCTACATCTGACAATAGCACTACAGAGAAGATCAGAATTTCAACAGCCAATCCACATACAAAAGAACCTCTTCAGGAAACCTCCTCAGGAAACAATCCATATACAAAAGAACCTCTGCAGGAAAGCTCCTCCGTTAGCATGTTCACAGCCTAGGGAACTCCTACAAGATAATGACTCAGCCCTACCCCAACTTCCTGAGTAGATATATATAAATTACCTGCCGACAATTTTGCTTCTCACCTTGACAGAGAGTACTCCACCTTTCTGTGTTATACCTCTGAGGATGCCAGTCACAGCTTCTGGCGAAACATCAGGCACTACATGCCAAGACCATGGCCACACAAGCTGGAAAATCTACAACAGCTAATGGATTCCGGCTGTGAAAGCCCTCGAGAACAAGTCCAAGGTCAGTTTACAGTCAGAGAGAGTCCAAAAGCAGAGTCAAACCAGTCCAAGAGTCACAAGATTAGGGCAGAGCCAAGACTTGTGGTCGCAGGATTCACTGTGAGATGACATGTTGCTTCCACAAGTTGGCAACAGCACACCCCCAGCTTTATATAACCTTTCCCTAATGAGTCTTATCTGGGGCTGAGAGAACTCTGACAGAAACGGCTCTTTTTGAAGGACAGCTGTGCCAGAGCTTGTGACTGACCCAAGGTCACATCAGCAGGTGCAAGTGGGGGAGTGGGGAATCAAACCCGGTTCTCCCAGATTAGAGTCGGCACACTTAACCACTACACCAAACTGGCTCTCACAAGAGTCACAAGATCAGGGCAGAGTCAAGACTTATGGTCGCAGGATTCACTGTGAAATGACGTGTTGCTTCCACAAGTTGGCCACAGCACATCCCCAGCTTTATGTAACCTTTCCCTAATGGGTCTTCTCTGCAGCTGGCAAGTTAGCAGGGCTCCTGCGATGACTCATCTTGTAGCTGTCAACAGGCCATTAATCTTTAACTCTGTCTGTGTTCTTGCAGTTGCCTTCTGACCTCGGTCCTTCTTCTGACTATGAGTGGCGGGGGAATCTGGGGGAGTCGTGAGCAGTGTTCCCTCTAAGCTGAGTCGGTGTGAGCTAGACTCAGTTTTTTAGCCTCCGGCTGACACATTTTGTCTTCGCTCGAGAAGGGATGGGCTCCAAAGCAAACTGATTTACGCGGTAGCCAAATCGTTCCCTCACAACTTCCATGCCGGTAGCTCACAGAGCAGAATTTTTGCTCACAGGACTCCAACAGCTTAGAGGGAGCATTGGTGAGTGCCTCCGGAGGTACCTGCTCCCTGACTTCAGCCGGCTCGGTATTATCTGATTGGAATTCCTGAGCGTCCTCTACTCTGAGGTCATCTTTCGCCACGCTGGACCCAGGCTCGACTTCTGAGCCATGCTCCCTCTAAGCTGTGGCCAGTTTGGTGTAGTGGGTTAAGTGCGCGGACTCTAAACTGGGAGAGCCGGGTTTGATTCCCCACTCCTCCACTTGCAGGTGCTGGATGACCTTGGGCAAGCCATAGTTCTGATAAGAGCTGTCCTTGAAAAAGAGCCGTTTCTGTCAAGAGCTCTCTCAGCCCCACCTACCTCCCAGGGTGTCTGTTGTGGGGAGGGGAAGGGAAAGGAGTTTGTGAGCCGCTCTGAGACTCCTTTGGGTAGTGAAGGGCGGGGGTATAAATCCAATCTCTTCTATTTCTTCTTTTACCTCACAGGGTGTCTGTTGTGGGGAGGGGGAGGGAAAGGAGTTTGTGAGCCGCTCTGAGACTCCTCTGGGTAGTGAAGG